TCTCCGACTCAGAAGAATAAAAATTTTTCCCCAAGCTGTATTTTGCTGTTCTCTGAGAATGTTGCCATTTTGTCGATCATTGATGAAGACTGAGAAAGAAGTTTGGTGTACAACTTTACGCCACGTAGAAGAAGTCGTAGAAACTTGAATGACGCTGAATTGCGGGTCATTGTTCGCTAACTCGCTCGATTGCGAGAAGAATGAGTCTCGATATATTCAAGTCTGACGTTTAACCGCTGAAACAAAACGTTGTCATTGTTTTTTTTTTTTTTTTTACGATATTTTACACTCGATTAAAAAAAAAAAAAAAGAACCTCACGAGCGGATTAACGAAAAGAGAAAATTGTGAAAGTTGAAACACCGCATCGCATTTTTCGCGAGCTATTTTGAATCATTTTCAGTTTTGGATTCTATACACAGGAAGCCAAACGAACGAACGAAGAGAGAAAAGACTGTATTAAGGAAGACTTTGCTTACTAGCTCACTGTGATCATAACGAATATTTCAATTGATTCCTGGCTTCGCCGACTCTCTTCAGCGCCGACACAATTCACCCTCATTCAAGAATTGCTCGAGCCTTCAACCCCCACAATGTGGATCACCAATCTGCTCATCTAATCATTGCATCTTTCCTCGGTTTCAGTCTTTTCTTTCAGGCAACGCACCTATCTTACACGCGGAGAACCTTCAGGTCTATACATTTTCTTCCTTTCCCGTTACGACTTGACGCCTGAACAGAAACCTCCTCGACAATCATTTCTCCCCCATCATTCCTCCGCGCATTATTTCTTCCCCGTCTCACCCCGAACGTGCGCTCGCACGTTCACATTCGTGCGTGTGCATCATAAGCACATGTATCATCGAGGGAAGCGTCGCGAAGGAATATCGATGGGGCTGTTGAAGCTAAATCGAATCGACGACGAGAACGACGACGACGACGACGATGACATTCCTCGCCCGGTGTCTCCGTTTCTTCCCTCGCTCGCTTTGTTCGTCGATGCCGTCGCCTCGACGCACACTCCCGACGGCGTCGTCTACGGAGATGCGTGTTCATGCAAACTTATCGAGTCCTCTTCCTCGTTTTCCCCGCGCGATCCCAGCGCGTTGGCCGCTGGCAAAAGCGACCCTAAGGCGAGGCAGACGATGCGATCGCCATCAGAGGCGCCGGCGGCAACGCGACCGGTATGTGGTAATATTTACACTGGGGTCGCATGCACGCGCCCTTCACCGCGTCCCTGCACACCGTTACGCGGTTCTCGATCACTTCCACGTTTCCTGAAAATTCACCAAAAAAAAAATCGAGTTATTCGATATTTACAGCAATTTACAAAAAAAATTTTATCTTTTTTTAATAACGAGCAATGATGAGGTGAGAAAATGAAAATCAGCGCTGTAGCGCAAATTACATTTTCAATTTTAACTTACAGAGGGTTTACAGAGTATTAATAAAACGCTCCAAACGTTTCGAAACGTTTTGAGTCATCTCCAGTGGTACGATAAAAGATAAAGATATATCTCTGTGTAATTAATAATTTCATTCAGTCAACTGACACGATTGACATATCATTATTTTTTATGATTGAGCTCATCGACTGGACATACATTTTCCCTATTATTGCCCATTATTAAAATACCAAAAATCATTTTTCTTAATATTTTTTTTACTTTAGGAACTAGGTAGTAAAATGTTTCTTATAAAATTTTGGATGCTAAAAACGATGCCGCGAGCCAAATTTTTCCAGCACGTCAGGTTTCCAAAAATAATCGAAGTATAGATAATAAAATAATGAAACAATGGCTTTTTTTAGATATTTGAAAATTTTTTTAAAAGAGGCTTTTAAACGATGTCTTGAAATTCTGATCGAAAGTCAGTGCATTTTTTATTTTGATAATATTTAACTCTTTATGTTATAAAAAGTTTTAATACAGAATTTAACTATCGTAATAATATTATTCACCATTAGCATGTAGGAACAGCTCGCTTCTCTTCCATCTCAGAGACTAATGTCTCTGTCAAAAATATGTAATGTCAAAAATAATATTCCAAAGATCAAGATATCAAGAGGTATGTAAAAATCGACAAGGTCAATTGTTCAGATTGTAAAAATTGTTTTCAACAACAGAATTTTTATTTAAAAAGCACTACATAAATATAAATATGTTAAACATAAATATAAAGAAAATTTTACGTCGATCTCAGAGACTATGTTAAAAATAATGTTGCAAACGTTTAAAGATATATCTTCCTATTAAACTTCAAGATCCATCGTTCAGATAAAAATTATATCAACAGAGAGTTTTTATTTAAAGAGCTATCTTATAAATATAAATATATTTAAACGTAAAAATACAAAACGTAAAGAAAGTTTTATCTCAATCGAATATAATTTCTTTGTCTGGCTCGTAATGACGGGTTACACACGCAAACTATTTAATATGCAGCAAAGCTTCAAAAAATAAAAATGCTTGATTGCAATATTCATCGAGTATGAGTGTAACGAATAAATATTCTCAATCGTTCGATCAGCGTCAAAGGAATTCATGCAAATTCGCAATTCGATAGAAATAACGCTCGTTATTCAAGTGTATATTGTCCGCAATTGATTGTCGCGCAAAAAGTATCGCTAATTGTTTGGAGAACTTGGAGGAAGGAGTGCTTTCTCGGTTTACAGTACTCGAGTAATATTGGTTGTTCATTATCACGAGTGGTAATTCATCTAATTGACACGGCGAGTTAACAAAAGGAAGATTCACGTCACGTCCGCGCGAGGATCATTCGCGTAAATGGTAAATGTGAAAGCGAGCCGCGCTGTGACGATGGCGATGGTTGTAATAAAACGGAGGCTAATGAAGGCGACCGACACCGTCGACACGATGTCGTCGGGGCGGAAGTAAAAGCACGAAACGACAATCGGGCTTTCGAGCGAGATAAAAACCGCGACTGATTTATTGTTCGTAATTGCAACGCACGTCTCGCACGCGGAACTGGCAAATTCGCCGACGAAGTAAAAAAAAAAAAAAAAAAAAAACAAGACCATAATCGCCGGTGTAATCCACTGGTTACGAGAATAGTCCCGTCGCGCAGGAATTTTCAATAGTCGAATTTCTGCCGTCGCTCGTGATGCCGCTTACTTTGCCAAAATTACAGATTTTCCCGGAGATTTCCCGAGAAATTCGCGTCGTTACTCCGTAACGTCGATCAGCGAATGATAATTGACGATTGAGAAGAAATTTCGTAATCGCTTGACGAATATCAATTAAGCGAGTCGGCAGTTTTCCCGATGAGATATCGATTTCATATTTCTCACCGCAATGGCAAATGTAACGTCGTATAACTTCGCAATTTTCATTTTTTTTTATATATTAAATTATTCTCAGACAGAGTGAAATAAATTCAAGTGGAAAAAGGTAAAGATACGAAAATAAAAAGAGAAGCCTCATCATGTAATTTAAATTAAATTAACAATTTTTAATTAACCGCGCATTGAAAAGAATATGGATAAATAAAATGCAACAAAGTCGACGTATCCTCATAATAAAATATAATAATAATAATAATAGAAAATAGAAAAGTAAATTCTTTAAAATTAATTAATTCAAGCGTGGAACATTCTTCTCCACCCATGACAGTCTCGATGATCATTTCGCCATAAAGCCGCATAGCGCTTGTTTCACGTTTCTAACGTGCATAATCAGCCCGTATTTTCCAATATTGCGAATATAACTCACCGTCACTGAGATGAATAAACTTGCAGGCGGGACGGTTGCACACTCGTCGATTAAAATCTTGGCACACCGGGAGGGTGTCCAGTAACTGAAAGAAAATGTGCCAGATACTCTTATAGAGGATGAGCTCGGCGAACGGTGAACGATTTGCAAAAAAAGGACTTGTAGTACCACAAACACACACACACACACACACACACATGCATTCCTACGTGCTCACGCACGTACACACGCACACAATCTCGTATCTCATGTCCCATTCTACCTTTCTTTCCCCCCCTCCCCCTCTCTCTCTCTCTCTTCTTTCTGTCCTTAGGATTGCTACAAAAATACCAATACCCGATAATTCGCTCCATCGAAATAGGTCTAAAACAATAACATTATTCTTCTATTCGTTAATCACAAAATTAATTTATACATGCAAGACAATCTTAGATCACTGAAAAATAAATACCAACGTGACAAAAGATAGATATTTGGTAAATCCCAAGTACCATAAACATCGTTATATAAATTGTACAATTGATCCGCAAGGAAGTATTATAAGACATTTATTATTTTTCTTTTTTGTTTTCTTTCTATAAATTTAGTTTATCTAAACGCGTTTTCTCTTCATGTATTAATAAAAGATATCGGGTGTTTCAAAAGATTTCTAAGCATTCCTATGCTCAACGAGATTCTCCGCACAATCATTCACCGATTCTTCAATGTTAGAGCATATTTATGGTTCGTTACATGCTCTAGAAGATTGATTCGTTTATGGGTATTAATTAATTGCTACGAGTGTGCGAATAATCAGCGTGGTCGGATTGATAATTCGGGACGAATGATTTTCTCAAGCGAACATATCCTTCCTCGTGATTAATAGAAATAAGTAAACAAGACAAAGGTAAAAGTGACAGACATCGAGTATTCGCACACACGAATCGAGTGATAAATTTGCAGTAGAACTTTTCTTTTCAAATAGGATACTTTCCGCCATCATGGTATGTATACATTGTGGTGGTTAAAATTAAAATAAATCTGACCGACTGTGTAACAGTCTTGCATCTAATCTCGTGTTAATTCTAACCAAATAGGTACATATAATATGGGATTTGCAAAAATTGGGCTCGACTTGGGCTAGAATCAAGGGAATTCGTATATCGTGTTTATAACACGTGCCGGTTGTGTACGTTTGTGACATTTTTTTTCGTTATATTCCAATCGTGGCATTCCGGGCGTAATGTATGCAAGGAGCGCGCCTAGAAACAAGGACATTTTTGATTCGCAAATTTCATTGGAAAATCCGGAAAAGTCTATGGAACTAAAATATTCAGCATAGTAATTGTCACAATGTTAATTTGCGTTGTGTGTTTACACTTTTCGTACAAAAGTTATGTTCGTAAACGTTTGTATGTAAACCGATGCCCCGATGGGTAAACGTTGTATAGAATTTGCGAATCAGGTTTGGAAGCCCTCTTCTCGGCGGGCCATTTCAGCACAATGACTAGACTGAACTTTTAGTATTAACGAAATACGGAAAAGCAACGGAAAGAAGTTTGGCAGAAGTGTTTGGAAATTCTTCTCTGCGCCTCGCTCTGTTTTTCTCCTCTCTCCGTCACTCTCTCGTTCATGATAGAAAACGATGTTGGACATCGACGTAATGTAAACCCGGTTTACGCGAGATAAGAGCAATAATTACAATTAAATAAATGTGTGTATGTGTATATATATATAATATGTACGTATATATATATATATATAATAAATATATATTACGCGATTGCGCTTAAAGCGTAAAACGCACCGGATGTATCAGAAGCGAAAGAGACAAAAATACATTAAAGTTGTTTCTCGAATCGTAAGCGAGAATAAAATAGTTTTCGCGGGCACGAGTATATAATTTCACATTTAACAAAATGGCAAATAAAGAGAGAAAGACATAAATGCGAGTTGTAGAACATTGGCTATCGAAAGGGTAC